ACAATTAATAATCAGCGCAAAAACATTTATTGTGCTGAAATATCTGTTGTTGAAAGTTAAATTAAGGTTTAAAGGTCAACATGCTTTGCGCATATTTTATGAGAGTAGGAACTGTAAGGGGATAAAAGCGTGTAATTGTCTGAATATAAATATCAGACGCTTCAAAACCGCCTTTAACAGGATAAAGAAATGACATTAAGCCCTATTCGGAATCCATGAGTTTTATCACTGAGGTGAGAAGTATATTTATTTTTTACAGATGTCCATATGAGAAACAATTACCGTCCGAATCGGGCTATGACGTGACTGTGGTCAAGTGAACGTGTGTTCCTGCAGAACATTACTCTTACCTATTGGTTACCGCTGAGTTTGTGATTTTATTCGTCTTTATCATCTTTATTACTTAAATTTTTAATGCAGAGATTTAAACTAAATTCACTATATACAATGCTTAACAAATTTATTAAAACAAATTTATGTAAGGTTTTTAACAAATTATGGTTTGTGCCACTGCTGCTCTAAACTAACAGTACTGGTGATTACCAAAATCATTTTTTAGCTTTCTGTATTGGTTAGACCTCCAATATGTGTAAGCTCTTTAGTACCAGTAGTAGGCTATTTCTAATGCTATAATATAATTATTGCTGTTATCTATGAAAGAAAGGCAGAGAGCTTTATAGTGTTTTTTTTTCAGATACCCAATTACAGTAAAAAAAGTACAAAAACAATGCCAGCAAGAATGCAAGTTGTTATGAAGGGCATAGGAGGCCTTTTTTATGTGAATAAATACTATTTAGTTGTTTAAGTTTATTTGCCCATTAAATGACAATAACATTTTTTTATTAAAATTTTTTTTTTGACAGATTCCTAAAATGTGTTTTCTCTTTATTATGGCAGGTCTAATAAATTGTTAAGCACTATGTTTTCATAGCATTCAGTTGACACGTTTGTTTGAAGGACATTAGGCAGAATGTGGAATAATGTGTTTTTTGTCAATAAAATAAAAAAAGAATTAAATGAAAAAAGATTAATCGGGGGAAAAAATAAAATAATAATAATAATAAATAATCGAACAACTAATCGATTATCAAAATAATCGTTAGTTGCAGCCCTACATATTTTAATGATATTTTGATTGTGTAATCTTATCCCAACCGTAACCTCTATTCTTAAGAGTTCTAGCAGAGAGATTTTAAGCAAAGTCCAAAAGAAACCGGCACTCCCACAATGCAGCTGGTACCTGTAGAGATTTGGGCTCCACCAGTCTGCCACTCTTAGTGCTGCCAGCGCCCATGGTGATGACCGTGGATAAAGATGACCGACGAATGCGAGCTGAAGATGGTCTGGATGATGAGCGACTGTCTGTCATATGCAAAAATAGAAACTATCTTCATTACAACAGCTGCATCACTTAGAAATCCAAAAAAGAAAATGAACAATGAACTGCACACTTTAAAACAATGTTTAAAATTGAACACCCGAAAGCAAAAGCAAATTATCACTAGTTCTGCACTTACTCATAATAATGACAAATGGCTGCCTTAATCAAAAGGTTTTAAAAGCTCCTCCCTATGCAAACCCTCTATTGAGTTCACATTATGGCACAAATCCAAATGATTTTTCATCACACATGAGGGGAGATCAATAGCTTAATCATTACTTACTATATAATAGACTGCAGTGTGAGGAATGGAAACAGAATTGTGTGTTTGTTTGCTTCTTTGTACACCCAAACGTGAAATCCATTCTGTAAAGCAGAGCTGATTGAACCCGACCTGACTTGTACTGTCAAATTTTAAAGGAACGGTTCATCCAAAAGAAAAAAAAAAAACCTTGAAAATGTACTCACCCTCAGGCCATCCAACATGTAGATAAGTACATCACTTGCTCACCAGTGGATCCTCTGCAGTGAATGGGTGCCGTCAGAACGAGAGTCCAAACAGCTGATAATAACAGTCCATCAATTAACGTCTTGTGAAGTGAAAAGCATTTTTTAACTCCAAACAATTACTTCCTGCTAAAACACAAATCCTTAATATTGCTTTCTCCAGTGAAAAGGTTAATCAGTTCCTTAATCAATTGAGGAATATGCACAGATCAAGCACTGCTTACAAATAAAAACAGTCCAAAACAGTTCTAAACAAACATGTTGGTGGATTTTGATGTGACAGGAAAACGGGATGGACATTTTTTTATTATGGCCAGGAGTGAATGTTTAAAGTTAAAACGCCTTAATGATGGATTCTCACTTCACAAGACTTTAACTCAGTGATCCTCAAATCTGGCTCGCGAGATCCACTTTCCTGCAGAGTTTAGCTCTACCCTAATCAAACACACCTGAGTTTGCTAATCAATGTCTTCAGGATCATTAGAAAATCACAGGTAGGTTTGTTTGATTATAGGGTTGGAGCTAAACTCTGCAGGAAAGTGGATCTCGCGAGCCAGATTTGAGGATCACTGCTTTAACTGATGGACTGAAGTCGTGAATTATTGTGATGCTTTTATCACCTGCTTGAACTCTAATTCTGACGGCACCCATTCACTGCAGAGGATCCACTGGTGGTGAGCAAGTGATGTAATGCTAAATTTCTTCAAATCTGTTCTGCTGAAGAAACAAACTCTACATCTTGAATGACCTGAGGGTTGAGCAAATTTTCCTTTTAAGACCAAAAAACCTAAACCCTAAATTCCTCACTCCAAGTAAAGAGAGTGAAGGCAAAAGCATTCTGTAGCATTATAAATTACTAATATATTACACTATAATATATTGTGCTTTTATGTTTTGTGCTTGTGTGCAGACCCGGTATCATACCTTTCCTCTGTGTGGTTTCCAGCTCTGTTCTGGGTTGTGTCTCTGAAGCTGGAAGCTCAGGTTGGGACTCTGAGCTCTGTGGGGAGTTGTCCAACTGGTTGCCAAAGTTCTGCCTCTTCAGTTTGGCATCAGCCTCAAGCTTCTTCAGTGCTGCGGTCTGACACTGCTCTGCAGTAGACTCGAGAAGCCTGCAGAACTAAACAGCAGGCTGGCTAATTCAACTCACCTATTTTATACTATAATTTGTCAATTGTCATTACAAACCACCCTTTTTCAACCAAATGCTTGGAGATCATACCTCTGCATAGTCTAACTTCCCATCTTTGTTGACATCTGCTAAGGAAAAGATTTCATCCACTTCCTTAGGTGACATTTTTTCACCAGACTAAAACAAACAAATCAAAATACAAACGTGAAATGATTATAAAAGCAGGCAAACATTGTTGTAAAGAGCGAATGGAACAAATTTAACACTTACTGAAGTAAGGATTCTGCTGAGCTCTTCGTGTGAGATATATCCATCACAACTGACATCAAATTTCTTGAAAATTCTCATAAGCTGGTCTGGTTCTGCTGGTTTTTCTTTCTTAAGTATTTCACAAAAGTCATCAAAATTCAGCTTCTTGGTTCCTGGGGGCCAATATTTGTCTAAAGCTTTCTGTGATGGATTTCTACCTGCTTTCTGAAGAACTGAGAGACAAACCAGCAAAGATGGACAATCATTGTATACATTGACTATTAAGCTAGTGATAATATTTTGCACTGACATTGGCTAAATAGCAAATATCTATGAAGATATATTGAATCCCTTTCACTAATGTACTGATGTTGATTATACTATATTATTTGAATGTGCATTATCTACAACGTGTTGTTCCTGAATTATGAACTAAGTAACTAATTATGAATTAGTTATAAAGTGTTACCCATTTATTGATATTATCAATAATATCTAGCCTTTATATTATGACCAACGTGCAGGTATAAAGATGTTGAGTTGAATTATGCTCACCCGTGCACAACTGATCTTTAGAAGTCATATTAACCAGGCTGGATCTGAACACAGACAGATAAGCAGCCCTGCACTTCATATAAAACCTCTCTTCCTCTGAGCGCTGCATTACGAAAATATATTAAATATGCAAGCGAAATATCAAAGCATGTTGTGATAAGAGCAGTAAGCTAGAGAGGCAAGTCTGTGGGCTATTTTATGGTTGGTGGTGTTGTTCACTATCGAGTCTGATTGCCATGGCTGCCGTGTGTAAACAAACCCGGTGCGCAGTTAAAATGAGATAACGGGAAACAACTGCTTTCAGTGCTCCTCATACAATATTTGTTAATTAGATGTGTGTGTGTGTGTGTGTGTGTGTGTGATATAATCGCGGCAGCCAACTCCATCTTTACTCTAACAACATTTTAACTCATACTTTATGAAATTTCTAGGGTAAAATAGAGTTTAACACTGTCAAATACTTTATCAAGTATATAGAATCACAGATAAATGTTTCCGGGGGACTAAATTACTGCCGCACCGCGCCAAACTACAAAACCGCCTGTCAACTCCACCACAAGAAAAATATAAATATTTAAAATGCCGTAAGTGTACTTACGATACTATAATTTACTATATTTACTATAACTATAAGATACTATAATTTCAACGATATATGTTTGTGTTCATGTTATATTTACGAAAAATTTGCTAGAAGTACTCTTATGCTGTTCAACATTACTGCCAAAATACGTTACGCCGTTATACTGAATAATAGGTACCATAGTACTACTTCATTAAATACCATGTAACTAACATTTTACCTGTTCAAGGTCCCCCACGTGAGACAAATACTAAGAAATATTTAATACTTCAATGTCACACCCTGGATTTAAGTCTTAATGAATTTGGGGTTTTACAGTAACGTTACTAGTATCATAACTCACAGATAAACCTAATATAGCTAGTTCAAGAATTGTCACACGTAATATTAATATCATCTAGCAATCGCTATATTCTAATAAAGCTATTGAACTTGAAAGTGTACAAGTGTAATTGGAATTAAAAACACACATCTAATGTACAATGTAATCATGTATGAAAGTAAATACATACATAAAGTACTGAATATCTGTTTGGTGTCTTTTTGTAGATTCACATATGCTGGTATGGATATCATCCACATAAATTAGCAAACCCAAAACTGTTAAAGCATTAATTACAAAAATGACAATTAACTGCTGATAATGATGTTAATCTTTTGACTCCTCTAATAAACTCTCATTTTCTATACAGCGTGAAGAGAGCCCTTCAGTTACAAGACAAAGAAAACGTGAGTTCATTAAATCATGAACACATCGTCAGGCATCTCTACCATTTATTTCAGAACAGAAATGGCTTTTTCACATTCCTTGAATGTTTATTATTTCAGCCCATTTTAAAGTGACATCAGAACCATGTCAGTAACCATAATTTAAAGACTTTGTTATTAAAAGTAAAATAACAAAGAAATCTATACCAATGCTTCAAATGAATCTATTTTAGAGCCCAGCTAAGAGGCGAGCACCAAACAGAGACTATTCCCCTATGACTGGAACCCAAATGAGTCCCACAACAAAACCTGCAGGTACTAAAACCCACAGACTAGCTACTGTATTTTCTTAGACCTATAAAACTTATATTCTGCCCCCCAGGAGTTTTCATTTTTGATTTTTTCATTGTGAACAGTGTAAGATGTGTGTGTTCTTTTCGCTTTCGGTAATCACCATAAACAATCCCCTGCTCATGTCATGTTGTTGCCTAAATCCTGTACAGTTGGGGTCTCTTGTAATCTAGTGATATTGCATTTAGATTAGCTGTCTTCATAGCCATTAATAATATCTTTGCTCATGCTGATTTGATAAATTGCTGACATTTAGTGCTTCATCAGCAGGTAATTCCAGAGCAGGTGGGAAGAAAGCGAATCCCCCTCAAACAAAAGAGCCCATGACAGATGCTGAGAGGTAAGGATGTAGAAATGTCCTTTTAAACATGTTGATGATTCCTGTCATTTTAGTAATAATATTTGAGATTATTCAAATAAAAAAGTACAATTGAAAAAAGAAAAGAGGATAAAAAGACATGCTTCATTTTTAATAATGTTATTGCTTAGCTGTTGGCCCATGCATGGTTTAATTTTTTTATTCTGTTGTTGACTTACTATATTACACTTTTTACTCGATATTTTACATAAACCAGAGTGCCATTAAGGTCTATTTTTACGAAGCTACTAACATTGGTATAACTGGAGCAGTGGAACAGACAGAAATTTCTCCTCATTACTGGATATTTCCTTTGTCCCACTTGGCTGATAGCCATTATGACTGATCAGAATTTAATGACAGGACATGGAGGGAGTTTCATCACCAGCCAAAAGCCTCGTTGATTTACATAGCACTAAAAATAGTTGGATAAGGAGAGTTTAAGAAAAGACCTATTTCCTTTCCAACGCATACTAACACAGAGCTCCGTGTGATCCATCAAGACAAGCATTAGTTTTGAATTTTATAGTGCAGTCATTTAAGAGGAAGCTAGTTAAATATATATAAAAACATCAATAAAGAGAGCGAGCTTATGATTCATTTAAGAAAGTATTCATTTGGGGAGTCAAACCCAAGAGAATTTCTCGTGCAAAATGTAGAAGAGATCTTGAGTGTGATTGGACGACGGTCCTTGTGTAAGATTTTGCCAACCTTTTAATATGTCTTCCAATATTTTTAAACATGTATTAAAAATAAATGAATATCTTAGTCAGCTTGTCTTCTCACAGACTTAGTAAGGATATTGAATACGAACTCGGAATTCAGTGTCCTTATCGAGCAAATTTCCTGCAAGAGAATTAATTAGATTATTTCAAGCACACATTCAGCCCCCAGCAAAGCTGCACTTGTGATTCAATCGCACAATGCTGATTTGTTGCAACTCAATGGTTGGATTGTGATGAAGTTCAGCATGTTTTTAAGATAAGGTCGCTTGAAATTGTTTTAATTAGTCACACTCGAGGACCTCTGCGTATATGTTGTTTGTAGCTCGACACCAAAGGAATGTCACGATCTTGATCACATGGTGGAGCATGAAATTTATCAATGTAGAGAACAACAACAACAACAGTAAAAGGGTGTTTTCACATTTACGTCCCTAGAAAGAGAATCAACCCTTTTAAGACATTATAACATACACTGACAATAAACAAATGATGTATAAAAAAGCCATTATGAAAAATTATACAAATTATGTAAAAATTATGCCATTATGTAGAGTTTGGTCCAGATTTGACTAATTTGATGCTTTAGCTATTCTTTTCAAGAAATCAGTACTTTTATACAGCAAGGGTGCATTAAATCAATCAAGTGACAGTTTAGATATTTATAATGTTGCAAAAGATTTCTCTTTCAAATTTCTCTTCAACAAAGGATACTGAAAAAAGTATCACGGTTTGCACTAAAATTATAATGATAATAATTAGAAATCAGAGAATCAGCATATTAAATTGATTTATAAAGGATCATGTGACACTGAAGACTGGAGTAATGGCTACTGAAAATTAAGGTTTACCATCACAAGAATAAATTGCATTTTAAAATACAGTATATATTATATTATATTATATATCAACATAATGTATCAACATTTTAATTTAGATTTTTTTTTCTGTCATTTGTGTTATGAAAGGCCTTTTTCTGGCTTTTTCTGTGTTGGAATTGTGAATTAGATTGGTGTGACGAAATCAAATTACTTGTCTCCAGGAAAAGATTGTGAAAACATTTTCACAGAAATGCAGCTAAATACGGATCGTTTCAGTAAGCAGACTTCAGTTATCAAACTGAGCATCAGAGTATGTCCTGTACAAATAATGTGTTTCGTTCCAGTGAGGTTTTTCTCATTACATTTTAGTAGGGTTTGAAGTCAAAGCTTGAAATTACCTCAAGTTCCCTAATTTGTGTTCATAAGGTTATTGGATATTTTTCTACATTCACAACTGGCCCAGAACTATTTTTGCAGCAGCATTATTAAGCTTTAAATAAATGATACTTCGACAAACCATATGTACTGTAAGTAGTTGAAGATGTTGTATTTGAAGCTCTCTTGGGACACCATTAGGTCCTGGCACAGATCACTAATACCCTGGATTTCATAGAGACACATCATTGCTATTAGAGTTCTCAAACAGACAGTGTCACTTGAGCCATACAGGAGCTGGTGCGGATGACACATGACGGCGAGGATATGACACTACTCGTGTAAAAGCAAGCTGAGCACCAGGCACAGCTGAGAAAATCCACAAGGATATTTTAACTTTGACAGGCAAACCGCTGAATCCATGTCCCTAACGGAAGCCCCTTCATCTAATGGCTTCCCAAAACATAACTTTGGGCGAAAGGGCAACTGGCAAGCAAGATGTTTATGGCGAAACTGATAAAAGTTTTTCCCAAGCATTCAAGAGAGGCCATCCCTCCTAAACAATCAGATCGGCTGTAAATTTTCTGGCTCATTCAGGCATTACCAAGTCCCGAGCTTCACGCTACATGTTGCTGATGAGCGCAAAATGGGAAAAGACAAGAGTGCAATAATTCTGAGGCAGGTTTGTCGCCTGGACCGAGGGTATTGATTATTTCTGTGTGGCGAGAGATTTGGAAAATTCAATTAAAGGAGCTGAGCAAAGGATTCATAAATCGGCCCCTGCCTCCACCTCTTCTACGCCCATACGGAGACATTGTTATGTTCTAAATCAATGTTGCACTTCACAATATATTTTCTTTGGAGCATGAAAATAAATAACATTTAAACAGTTCTGCTTACCGCTGAAACAAATTTTATCTTCACCAAAGCCTTCTCCGTCTTCGCGCAGCAGCCTCCCGTGCGCATCAGCAGATGTAGTAACGTATTTTTATGGCAAGTTTTCCATAAGAAAATCCTATATAATATGAATTTTGCGATGACAAAATGAGAAGGAAGGGGACGGATCAGCAGTATAAAAATTGATCAGGCCGCAGATGGGGTAGAGCCATGGGAGATTTGTAAGACAGCCTTAATAGACTGCATTAAAAATTCCTTAAAATGTAATAAAACAAATAGGTTTTTGGTTCTTGGCCGGGACGGGGTCACAGACCCTGCTAATATCACATCAATCCTGGGCTGCTGAAGGATAAATGGGGTCTGTTTGGGGAACATTTTAGTCTTTTTGATGGAAAACACCAGCACAATTAAAGGGCTGCTGTATATTAGAGGGCTTTGGGTGGGGAGGGTAGAGTTGAGCAACTCTCAGCATGTGTTTTGCTCTCTGTTTTGTTCACACACGCGTCCCACAGGAGTATGAGATGCATTTAGTCAGTGCATTTCAGATCATTTGCATTTAGATCATCTAGCAGCTCTGGCAGCTGCAGCAGTCTACAAAATCTATGAGTGATGGATGGATTTACCTGATAAGTTACATGTGCACGTGTCTCATTCGTGTATTCACAAAATGATCTTAAGCTAGATAAAGTGTGTGGTGATCTATCTATGTTGCTTTCACAGGGATGAAACAGACTGGCAGCTCTTATGAATTTCTGAAGGCAATCTTAAGGTATGTCCCCCACTCCCCTACCTGGGTTTGTATTGTACTCATTGTAACTTCAAAAGCTTGTCACATTACAGAGATTCATGTAATTCTACAGTAATTAGTAGTGGTTTTATACAGTAAGGTGGGCTGTTTTGACCCTGCACACCCTAGCAACAGCTTAGCAACTACCCAGAATCCTTTGGTAACATGCTAGCACACCTTACCAATCACATAGCAATATACGTGCAACCATTGTGGCAGAGAATTCATCAAATCATCTTCATAATACATAAAAATATCATGACATCAGAAAGTTATTTCTAGTTAAATTATGATTAATTTAACAGCAACTTAATTTTACAAGTTTGATCATTTCGGAGTAATTTCACAGAACTGCTTAATAGGATAATTTCATGCATATATAAACAAAAACAAATTATACTTTTATACAGCAAGGATACATTAGACTGATCAAAAGTGACAGTGAAGACATTTATAATATTACAGAATATTTCTATATAAAATAAATGCTGTTCTTTTGAACATTTGTATTCATCAAAGAATCCTGAAAAAAAGTATAATCTTTTAATCTTGATAATAATAATAATACATGTTTCTTAAACATTAAATCAGCATACTATAATGATTTCTGCAGGATAATGTGATATTGAAGACTGGAGTAATGGATGCTAAAAATGTAGCTTTTCCATCACAGGAATAAATTACATTTTAAAATATTAAAATAGAAAACAGTAAATTGTAATTTTAAGTTGTAAGAATATTTCACAATATTACAGTTTTTTAAATACATGCATTTTTGGTGAACATAAAAGATTTTTACTGACCCCAAACTTTTGCACTGCAGTGTAATTCTATCAGTCCAATTAATCTCAGTCTTAAATATTAATTTAATAGACATACCCCCGGTTTCACAGACAAGGCTTAAGCCTAGTCCTAGACTAAAATGTAAATCTGAGCTGTTTCAACTGAAAGAAACTTGCACTGACTGATCTTAAAACATTTCAGTGCCTTTGTTTTGTCGTAAGATGCACACCAGTAATGCTTTTTTCTAAGGCATGTTTATAAAAATTACTTAAATGTCCTAATTGAACTATAGCCTAATGCTGGCTTAGGCCTAAGCCCTGTCTATGAAACCGGGCCTCAAAGTTTGAGGATGCTTTAAAAATGTCATAAATTAATTTTTATCAATTAACTTTAACTAAATTAAATCAATATTTGGTGTGCCCATCCTTTGCATTTAAAACAAGGTGCAGGTACAGTTGCACAGTTTTTCAGGTAGCTTTGCACAAAAGTTTGTTGAAGCATCTTGGAGACATTGCCACAGTTCTTCTGGATTTAGTCTCAGTTTTTGTCTGATTCTTCGTCATTCCACACAGTGAAAATACTAGTGGCCA